ATCCCAATACTGGCTCCAGCTGTCATCAGAATGTCCAAAGAACCATGAAAATGTTAAGAAGAATCTTTTGCTCTTCGCTTCTTCTTTCCTTTTGGATGAGAAGATGCTGAGTGAACAGACAATACAGAGCGGGCTATGAACGAATTCTGTCAACCTGTTCATGAACATCATATTGGAATAATAAAAGAATGAAAAGAACAATCTCAGACAAGTTTCAAGCATCTCCCAAAGGAATGTTCTTGAATCATCTTATTTACAAATATATATATTCATACTTTTAAATAATTATTTATCATTTGCTCATTTGACACAGAACGAGTATATAAAGAATTATAAGGAAAAAGATTATGACGGGTACATGTTTTTCAACATTGAACTTCGACATCGCTTCACAAACGATGTACATTGTGCTCCTGAAGGTTGAATGCGTTGATTGTAGGATAATAAATTCAATGTTTTGTCTATCAACAGGGAAACGTCTTCGGTAACATAGAAGTGTAAAGGGCATATTCCTTATTATGGTCTGTACTCTTAAGTTGAGATCTTCATCTGGAACACCATTATCTCTCAAATAGAACAGACAGGTCGGATAAGTTCGCATTGTCAACCAATCTTCATCTTTTAGTTTGCTGTAGAGATAACGAACAACTGTCTCTCGTTGTTCATCAGAATAGTTTCCTTCTACTTTCATGTACAACAATCGAGTACGGTCTGGGTCAAAACTCTTCAATAATTCAGGTGAAACATGTTGGGTCGTAGGCTTCTGAAAGACATTTGATTACTATGCTGATGAGAGTTTATGATATGAGAGGAATATTTTCATATAAATAAAAAAATAAAGAATAATTTGTTAGAAGTTATCAGAACCTGCATCTCATTACGCCACATGGTAACGTTTGAGCAAGAATACGATTGATTGAATGGGCTTGTTGCAAATGAAGCTGACTGAGAAACAGTCGAGCTTATGAAATCTAATGTAAAGTTACAATGCCACAAAGCTATCAAACTCCAACAAGATTCGAAGTTGGGGAAAGATTAA